ATGATCTCAATCTGCTCTAAGCGGACCTTGGAAAATCCAGGGTGGGATGTCAAGACTCTCCAGAATTTTTGTTGAGAGTCTTCACATATAGGGGGTTGTTCAAGACTCTTGACCTCTCTTGTAATCATGAGCAACCACTGCATTTGGCTGTTTTGACTACTAGTGTACAACTACCAACATCACTGTGCTTGTTTGTGCCCAATGTCCTGCAGCAAAAAATTGGTCAAGACCCCCTCAAGATGGGTAGTCCGTTGTGCAACACAGACCCCCTGGATCTGAAAACGGCATCCCCGGGCCTGATCAGGACACTCCAACAATTCGAGCTCCGCTGGGAATGCTCTTAGTTAGTTAGCTTTAAGCCCCACATACAGCCAAATGCTACAATCGAGGGGTTTAGGCTGTCCCTACGAAGAGAATCTCTAAAAAAATACTAAGCCTCAGTATAATTTAGCTTATGTATGATACCTACAGTTACGTCGATGGCCCGATGACATCATCACTCCCCTTGTCATACTCAGTTTGACGAGGTTGGCCTTCCAAGAAGGAAAGGATGACCCCACCACTACCATCAGCATTCGTGGTCGCTGCAAAACGGACTCCGGTGAGTCTTGGTCTTGGCTTGCACCAGCAGAAGAGTTCAGCTGACCTTTCGCGCTCGTCGGTGTAGTTCGGTGCCTTTGGTGGGTCGCTCAAGTCTCACAATGCAGCTCAGCTCGGTGGCATAGCAGCCCGAGCAGCTCTGGGGGACCTTCCCGTTAGGGCCTCTCCAGACTCAGTCATCTTCGGGACCGTCCTATACTCTGACCCCTCTAGCGCTTACCTCGCCCGCCACGTCGGCCATCATGCGAATGTTCCCGTTACTACGCCTGCATTAACGGTGAATCGGTTGTGTGGAAGTGGATTCGAGAGCGCGATCAGAGCTACTCAGGAGATCGCGCTTGGTGAGGCTTCTATCGTGCTAACTGGGGGATCGGATAACATGTCGCTTTCGCCATACACTCTGGCTGGCTCGAGTCGGTTCGGAAACAAGTACGGTATCGATCTTAAACTTGAGGACAGCCTGGCTCATACGCTCGTCGATCGATTCCCCACACTTACGCCCATGGGCATCACGGCCGAAAATCTTGCCGTCAAATACGGTATCAGCCGTCAAGTGAGCTTTTATTCTTAACTTTGCCTTTACCTCACGTTTGACCTATGGCTTCTTCATGCAAAACAGGATTGTGATGATTACGCTATTCAAAGCCAACAGCGATGGGCAGCGGGGAAGGAGGTCGGAGCTTTCGCTGATGAGATTGTACCGATTGAGCTTGCATCTCGAAAAGGCAAGACAATGTTTGAAGTTGACGAACACCCTCGACCCTCGGTCGACGCGGCGGGAATGGCTCGGCTCGCGCCCGTCTTCAAGCCTGATGGCGTCGTGACGGCTGCAAACGCGAGTGGTATCTGCGATGGGGCAGCTGCAAACGTAATAGCCTCGGAGGCAGCAATTTCCCGCTTCGGTCTCACACCGCTCGCACGGATTGTATCATACAATATAGTCGGAGTGGAGCCGAGTGTTATGGGCATTGGTCCTGTGGAGGCGGTGAGGGGTGCGCTGGCTAAGGCTGGGCTTGGAATCGGGCAGATCGATATGTTTGATGTCAACGAGGCCTTTGCGGCTCAATGGCTAGCTGTTGCCAAAGAACTCGATCTGCCTAGCGAACGCACCAATATTTTTGGAGGTGCTATTGGTGAGCTTCAGTATCATTTTGTGCTGACTTCTTGACTTGTGACTCATGTCCGCGAGGCTGATTGAACTTAAATGCAACGTCCGATTTTCCTTAATGATGTTCCGATGACTACCGGCGATCGCTCTGATTCGGATGGCCCCTTAAAAGCACTCGGACATCCACTCGCAGCTTCGGGTGCGAGAATCCTGAACAACCTCACCCACAACCTTCGACGACTCAATAAGCGATATGCTGTCGGCGCAGCTTGTATCGGTGGCGGTCAGGGCATTGCGATCGTCCTTGAGCGATGTTGAGCCTACTTGCGCACTCTTTTGTCGCTTGATATTTTCTCTCTCAAGTCTTTGATTTTGTATTCCAGTACTGCAGAGTTGTGAAGCTAGTTACCATCAGTGCCATCACCATGTATCTTCATGTTAATTTGGTTGGCTTGTTTATGCACATAGCGTACAGGGCGTGGGAACTGGCTTTTCTATTTCCTCCTCCTGACCCTCGCGAAAACTTACGAGCCCTTTTGCTCTCAATATGGCCTTCCTGATTGAGAAGGGTCAATCTTACATCCCTGGGCAACCATTGGTCTATCTGCGCTGCGTAGGAGGCTTGTCTCTCCCTATGGGGATCAGTCATGTGATATGACCCAATCCTGCGGGAAATTGGAGAAAACTTTCTTGTGTTGTGAAAGAGATCCCCATTTTTTTGTTTGGTTTCAAACTGAGAGCAAAAATATAAAACATGATGGTTTGACTGTGTGCATGTGAATGCTTTGTCATATAAGTCAAACAGAGAAAGTCTGCTTGGTACAAAGAGGTATAGGTTTGTGAAAGTTCCATGTTGAGCTGAGAATGAGTAGTGCTACAATGAGGGTAGACTTTGAAAATAATTGACTAATATTGGGGCTGATATTTGTGAGGGTTTTGAAGATAATGAATAGTCTAAGAGCCTCCAAAGGCAAACATCAAAACAATTTTCAAAAACCTACCAACATTCACTTATCATAGATAAAGATAATCAACACCTTCCTGTTTCCTAAATAAATCTATCCTAAAAAAAAAAAAAAAAAAAAAGTTGGGTGTCTTCTATATACCTATGCCAAAGTGTCAAGTAACAGCTCACTGGTTTGGAAGGGATTTTCTTTACATTCTTTTAATTTTTTTGGTGTATGTTTCAGAGACCTCAAAAGGTCTCTAAGGTCTCTAGCTATATGAATAGCAGTACATTTAAATTTAAAGACTTTTGTTACAAGGGTCTTAGATATCCATAATCAGGCTTGTTAGCAGCTGGTTCTTCATTTTTTTTAAGTTTTTTTTTTTTTTTTTTTTTTTTTTTTTTTTTTTTTTCAAAAAATTGCCACTTTTTCATTCAAAAACTTTCCTAGACCCTACAAAGACCTTCAGGCTCTAAATTTTAGCTTTAAGAAATCAAAGATATAGGCTAGCAAACATACGGCATTACCCTTCTTAAAAAAAAAGAAAAGCGCGTTGGTTTGTAAACGATCAACATATCCTAATCCTCGTTTTTTTCTGCTTTTGGACCTTAGATTTACTACTAATGGACAGCCATGTGTTAAATGAACTTTAAAGATTTTTTTGAAAATACCACCACTTTTGAGAAAAGTTTCAGCGGACTTGATCATATTCTAAAAGATTTCATTCTTCACATGTCAAGATCTGATTAGATCTATTATACATGAAAAAAGCTGTAATTTCTTTATTATATATTAGCCATGTAAATTGTTTGCATTCTGTGCAAAAAAAAAAAACCTAGAAGAGGTCAACTTGACCCCCCCCTCCCCTTCGAAAAAAAAACAAATGTTTACTGTGACTCAATTGAAATATGTTGCACATAGAAAAATAGTGTGGGTGACACTGTTTTTTGTTTTTGTTAAAATGCGTTGCCAGAATGTTTATATTTCATGCCAACAACCACAGAATAATCACTCCACTTCACCCGGAAAGGTCTCCCCCGAGGTAATCCAAACAAAAAGCCAAAAAGAAAGGGTCTGACCGGGAATTGAACCCGGGACCTCACCCAGATCCATGCATTTTACCAAGGTAACCACATCCCTAAGGGTGAATCATACTACTAGACCATCAAACCACACTACATGCAATTCGCTGACCTATATAATCTACACGTCACCGTGACGTCCGCAGCTCGGCTTGTATAGGTCAGGGTATAAGTCACTGTCAAGACAGGTCAGTGTATTATACGTCACCGTCAAGACATTTACGGTACAGTACTACAGTACCTATCATTACACCCTCCTTACCCCTCCTCTCATATTCTTCACTTCAACTAGTCGACCATCCAATTGACTAACCAATCAAACCAGCAATTTGGCACCATAATCTACCCGGCCCCTATCATCACATCAAATTGAAAAGGAGGCGGGTCTAGAACAAAGCAAAATTGGTGAGTCAGCATATGTGGTCCATACTAAAACTGACCCTTCTCTGGCCTGGAATTTCAACTTAGCTCCTGTAACCCACCGAATTCATCACCTCGGGATGCCATCTGTCAAGCACGCAACGTTGGTGGTCAATCTACCTCAACCTGGTCCCAAACCGGATTCCCAACCAACCAATTGAAAATCACCTGTGAGACCCATGTCCATACATAAAGTCATGGGTACGTCCTTTTCCCTCTCCTTCCCCCAGTCCTCTGCAGCTGCTTCAGTGTATCATTCACATCTCACTTACTTACACTTTCTTCTCCCTATACGCTTTACCATCTCACTGAATCATGGCCTCCTCAACTCCCTCTTCTGCGCTCTCGGCCGAGATTCAAGCCGCACTGGCTTCTCAAGCTCAAGCCTACGAGTCTCAGCTTGCTGAGTCACGCAAGGCCATGTTGTGTCTTGAGGATCGCCTCGACAATCTCCAGGTCAACTCGAAATCCGCCACACCTCAACGTCCCAAGCGAGCAGGATCTGAGCCAGCGCCGAACTCGTTCAAGCCCAGACTTGCGCAGACCCCTGTCCGGGCCACTCCTGCAGTCCGATTCACCCCTAAAGCTACATATAAGACAGCCTCCCAGCCCTCTCGCTCTACTCCAGCAAAGAAGAGGCCAAACCAAGTAACAACGGCGGACTATCCAAAAGGATTTGAAGGGACCAAGGTGAGCGGTCTTTCATAAATTCACAGACTTCATCTCACATCATCCTGACTTTTGATCATAGGACGGCTTCACTGTGCACATCAAGATATTGTGGGGCATGCTTGAACCCAACTCAGTGCCGCCACCGGCTGACAAGGATACCATGGCACGTTTCAACAGCTCCTTCAGTACAATCGCTGCGGTTCAACAGGCCATCGACAATGAATCGGGGGTGACTTTGATGGCCCAGGCTGAGATCGAGACGCTGAAGGATGCCCGAATGGGTCGGATCAAAGTAGGTCAAGGCATGATCAATGTTGATGAAGTTTGCATCCATTACATCCACACCAGCTTGGCCAAACTCAGCATCTCAATATGGGGCCCCGATCTCACTGAAAGTCCAGATTCGCTATTCAACAGCGCTTGCCGCATCGCGGCCATTAGGAGCTTTCGTGAAGTTGCTCTCCAAGGTCCTTACCCGAACGTCAGCAAAGCTTACCTCAACAACCTCACATTACTCACCCCGGCATACAATCATTTCGTGCACTACCTCTCAGCACAGCGTTTCAAAAAGGAACTTGTGAGTCCAGGAAAGTTTGAGTTGGTTACAAAGAAAGCAGCGGTTTTGAGACGTCGACTCAGGGTATGTCCAGCCTCTCCACTGTAGCTTGCTAGTCTGTTGAGCTGAGCCTTTTTTTTTTTTCTTCCCAGCTATGCAAGGCAAGATGCGAATTCCTCTCGACGATTCGAGGCTGCCCTAAACAATACATCAAGATGCTTGCAAAACCAAATGCTCACAGTGACGACGAAGTCGATTCCAACGGCATTACACACACGATCAAAACTCTCGAATTCCGCTCAGCTAATGCCAGTAAGCTCATCCACCGAGTCGATCTTCTCATGCAAAAGGCCGACATTCTCGCAGGAAAGACAAGCCAGAAACACAT